TGGCAATAGATGTTAGCTCAGAGCCGGTCTTCCTCAGCAAAAAGAGGAGGATTAGCACGGATGTTAGTTCAGGGCTGATCTTCCTCACACACACAAAAAAAATTCTAAGTGATAATGTTTCATAGGTTACTGGGCAGTAGTTTTTTTCTTTCTTAGTGATACATAAAATAACAATGCATGTTTATAATCAATGGCATTGTAGATTCCATGAAATATTGTATTCAAATGGTGCCATATTGTGCAGTGGTAACTAGGCTGATTTTCTAATTTTAGCTGTTACTTACTGAACTATCTTTCTAGTAAACTTTCTCTCTTAGACCCAGTTTCTTCTATTCAATGAGATGCTGAGTGTGGGTAATTTTGTTTTTTGTTCTCTAGAGATTCCAGAGAGTGACGTGGTGCCTGGGACCATTTTGGTGACAGAAGAAGAACTTAGTAGATGTATTGAGGATGTATTTAAGGTTGGTAATTCAAGTCACTAATGTTTTTAGCTATTGTTTATACTTAGTCTTTTAAAATAATTTTGTCTTTTCAACTGGTACTTCCAGAATTGGAATACTAATCTTAAATTCCAAACCATAAAGATCCTTTCACTTTGGAAACTGGAAACTATAAGCTGTCAGTGAAAAAACTGATACATTTTGAAACTCTGTCAATTTCATCATTTACTCTGAATGTTAAACGGTTTGTTTTCTCTGACTGGCACATGCCACTGATGAAAGCGTGTCTTTTGAGGAAACTAACAGAGGCATTTGCAATACTGTAGGCTTCCTAAAAGTGTATGATAATATTGAATCTACTTTGTAAGTTTTGATAGTAATCACCATCACAAAGGAGTAAGTCTGAATAAATGAATCCCACAAATGACTACCTCAATATATACTGAAAATGAAAAAAAAAAGAATATAAATTGTATATTCTCTATGATTGCAATTTTATAAATATATGTGAAATATAAATTTTTAGACAAAAATGAAATCCATTGTTTTAGGGCCAGATGGAGTTGGGGTAAGTATACTTCTTTAAAGTTTATTTCAGTAAATTTATAATAATATTTTACTATTAAAAATATTTACACTGGTAAACAGCTTTCAAAATTATTTCCATGTGAAAAGGTGCACCACTTTGGAAAATAGTTTGGCAGTTCCTCAAAAGTTAAACATGGAGTTAGTATATGACCCAACAATTCCACTCTTAAGTGTATACCCAAGAGAAATGAAAACATGTTCATACAAGAACCTGTACATGGGGCTGGCCCGGTGGCATAGCAGTTAAGTTCACACGCTCCGCTTCGGTGGCCTAGGGTTTGCAGGTTCAGATCTGGGGCGAGGACCTGCCCACCGCTTATCAAGCCACGCTGTGGCAGCATCCCATATAAAAAAGAGGAGGATTGGCAACAGATGTTAGCTCAGGGCTAATCTTCCTCAAAAAAAAAAAAGAGCTTGTACATGAATGTTCATAGCAGCATTATTCATAATAGCTAAAATGTGGAAACAACCCATATGTCTGTCAACTGATGAATGAATTAACAAATGTGATATATCCATGTAATGGAACATTTTTCAGCCATAAAAAGGAATGAAGTATGGATACATGCCACAAAATGGATGAGCATTTAAAAATTATAATGTTTTAATTTTAAAAGAATCCAGACACAAAAGACCACTCATTGTATAATTCCATTTATATGAAATGTTCAGAATAGGCAAATTCATAGAGACAGAAAGTAGATTAGTGGTTGCTGGGGCCTGGGACTGGGGAACGGGGAGTAGCTGCTAATGGTATGGGGTTTCTTTCTGAGGTAAGGAAAATATTCTGGAATTAGGTAGTGGTGATGGTTATACAAACTTATGAGTATACTAAAAAACACTGAATTGTACATTTTAAGAGAGTGAATTTTATGGCATGTGAATTGTATCTCAATAATTAAAATTTTATATTCTACATTTCTCATTTCTTTTCTATGGCAGTAAATTAAACATTTTAGAGTGAATTTTTAAATTTTAGTTTATGGAAATAGTTCAAACATACAAAAAAATATGAAAAGTAAAACACTCAGATTCCTGGTCAGGGAATCATTTAGGACCGGCCCCGTGGCTTGGCGGTTAAGTGCGTACGCTCCGCTGCTGGTGGCCCAGGTTTGGATCCCGGGCGTGCACCGACCCACTGCTTATCCAGCCATGCTGAGGCCGCGTCCCACATACAGCAACTAGAGGGTTGTGTAGCTATGACATACAACTATCTACTGGGGCTTTGGGGGGAAAATAAATAAATAAATATTAAAAAAAAAAGAATTAAAAAAAACAACAAAACACTCATGTACCCATCACTCAGCTTAAAGAAATTAAACATTATCAATTCAGTTGAAATTCTCCATCTACCCAACCCTGATCACATTTCCCTTGCTCCCCACCCTAAGGGAACCACTATCCTGAATTTGTGTTTATTATTACTTAAGCTACTTAAGTGTTGTTATGCATGATTTTAAATTTTATTTAAATGGCATTGTAATATATGTAACTATAATCATTCATTTTCACTTCTAGATATTATACTATTATATGACTATATCATCATTTATTTGTTTATTCTTCTATTGATAGACATCTGAGTTGTTTCCAGGGAGTTTTTGCCAATCTGTTTGGTGCATTGTGGTTTTAATTAGCAGTTAATTCTTTATTACTAGTGATGTTGAGCATCTTTTTGTGTTTTTGGTTCATTCATATTTTCTCTTCTGTAAATTGCCTGTTCTTATATTTTGCCCATTTAAAAAATTGGGTTATTTGCCTCTTTAAAATTTTTTTAGAGTAAATCTGTTTTTATAAAATAGGTTTGTTGAGGTATACTTTACAGACCATAAAATAATGTTTTAAGTACACGATTCAATGATTTTTAGTAAATTTACAGAGTTGTGAAACTATCACCACAATATAGCTTTAGAACATTTCCATCATCCCAAAAACATCTCTTGTGCCCATCTACAGTCACTCCCAGTTCCCACCCCCAGCCCCACCCCCAGCCCCAGCCCTAATCTGCTCCCTCTCTCTATGGATTTGCCTTTTGTGGATATTTCGTATGAGGAAATCATGCAATGTGTGTTCTTTTGTGGCTAGCTTCTCTCTCTTAGCATCATGTTTCTGAGGTTCATCCAGGTCGTTGCACATATCAATATTTTGTCCCTTTTTATTGCTAACTAATATTCCATTGTGTGAATATACTATATATTTTTTTATCTGTCATCAGTTGATGGACATTTGGGTGTAGAGTAAATGTTTTTTTTTAACAGCTTTATAAGATATAATTCACATACTATACATTTACCCATTTATTTTTTTTTATAATTTTTTTAATTAATTAATTTATTTTTCCCCCAAAGCCCCAGTAGATAGTTGTATGTCATAGTTGCACATCCTTCTAGTTGCTGTATGTGGGACGCAGCCTCAGCATGGCCGGAGAAGTGGTGCGTCGGTGCGCGCCCGGGGTTCCGAACCCGGGCCGCCAGCAGCAGAGCGCGCACACTTAACCGCTAAGCCATGGGGCCGGCCCTACATTCACCCATTTAAAGTGTGTAAATCAGTGGCTTTTTAGTATATTTGCAGATTTATGCAGCCATCATCACAATTAATTTTAGGACATTTATTGCTCCAAAAGAAACCCCACACCACTCGCAAATCCTTCCACCACCATTCCCCTCACTCCCCACCCCCTAGCCCTAGACAACCACTAATCTACTTTCTGTCTCTATAGATTTGCCTATTCTGGATATTGCATGTAAATGGGATCATACAATATGTGGTCTTTTGTGACTGGCTTCTTTCACTTAGCATGATGCTTTTAAGGTTCATCTATTGTAGCATGAAGCAGTATTTCATTCCTTTTTATTGCTGAATAGTATTCTCTTAGTCAGCCCTGGTGGTCTAGTGGTTAACATTTGGCACTCTCACTGCTGTCACCCGAGTTCGTTTCCCATTCAGGGAACCACACACCTGTCTGTTGGTTGTCATACTGTGGCGGCTGCATGTTGCTCTGATGCTGAGAGCTATGCCACTGATATTTCAAATACCAACAGGGTCACCCATAGTGGACAGGTTTTAGTGGAGCTTCCAGATAGACAGACTAGGGAAAAGGACCTGGCCACCCACTTCTGAAAAAATTGGCTATGAAAACCCTATGAATAGCAGTGGAGCAGGTGAGAGAATGATGCAGACAAGACTGGGCAGGGTTCTGCTCTGCTGTACAGAGTTGCTGGGAATTGGAGTGGACTCAACAGTACAAACAACAAAGTATTCTATTTTAGGTATATACCATATTTTATTTATCCATATATCATTTGATGGATATTTGGATTGTTTCCGCATTTTGGCTATTATGAATAATCCGGCTATGAACATTTGTGTACAAGTTATTATGTGTACATATGTTTTCATTTCTCTTGGGTATATACCTAGGAGTGGAATTGCTGGATCGTGTGGTAACTCTATGTTTAACCATTTAAGGTGTTGCCATGGGGCAGGCCCTGTGGCGTAGCAGTTAAGTGCCGTGCTCCGCTGCTGGCAGCCCGGGATTTGGATCCCGGGTGCACACTGATGCACCACTTGTCAGGCCATGCTGTGGCAGCGTCCCATATAAAGGAGGGAGATGGGCATAGATGTTAGCCCGGGGCCAGTCTTCCTCAGCAAAAAAGTGGAAGATTGGCATGGATGTTAGCTCAGGGCTGATCTTCCTCACAAAAAGGTATTGCCAGTTTGTTTACCAAAGTCGCTCCACCATTTTACATTCCCACCAGCCATGTATGAGGGTACAGACTAAGTCTTAAGTCATGTTCTTTCAGATAAAAAGGCAGATGCTTTTGTTTTATTTTAAGCCTTATGTATGGTACTAATAAATTTGTAGATATAAGATGCATGCTTAAAAATTCAAAACTCATTCTCCATAACACTCACTTTTTATTGAAGTGTGATGTTTACTACCATTTTATTTAATTTTGCTGTTAAAAAAACAGGGTAGGGCCAGCTGGGTGGCTTAGCGGTTAAGTACGTGCGTTCCGCTACTGGCGGCCCAGGTTCGGATCCCGGGCGCGCACTGACGCACTGCTTGTCCGGCCATTCGGAGGCCACGTCCCACATACAACAACTAGAAGGATATGCGACTATGACATACAACTATCTACCGGGGCTTTGGGGAAAAAAAAAAAGGGGGGGAGGATTGGCAATAGATGTTAGCTCAGAGCCGGTCTTCCTCAGCAAAAAGAGGGGGATTAGCATGGATGTTAGCTCAGGGCTGATCTTCCTCACAAAAAAAAAAAAAAGAATTAAATTGCTCATAGATAAAACATGACATGATGAATTAATGAATATAATGCTGGTTTTATTTTTTTAATGCCTCGTCTAGAAACTTATGCAAAGAAAGTTCTAATATCCTGTTCTACATATTGGTAGGCAAGGACTTTTCAGATTATAGG